TCACTGTCCGTCAGACCTTCTCTTCTGTGATGCTGAGGACATTCTCCAGTGACTGCAAGCAGAGGTCAGGAGAGATCTTTGAACACACCATGCCTCCTGCTGTACACTGGAAGCCCAGCCACAGGACAGGTACTCGCGTCTGACCGTATGACTTCAGTTTACCTCAGTGTTTTATGTAGATTTATGTTGGAGGTAAGAAACTCCTTTGAGCACTTAGTGACTGTGTGAATAATAACTCTGTTTCACGGGAAACCAGAAAACCAGAACCAGAGTCTTAAAAGGTGGCTGTAAGGTTTGGGTGAGAGGAAAGCTGACAGAGAAGTGTGGAGAACAACTATATACTATATAAACAATATACCGGTCAGTAGAGGAAGAGGAGTTTCAGAGTAGTGGAAAACTTACAGAGATGGAGACAAAGCACAAACTGAAAGACAGAAGTTATGAACAGATTTGAATAAAGACCACATTGATCTGGTGATCAGGTGTTCAGGTGTTCAGGTGTTCAGGTGATCAGGTGATCAGGTGTGGCTCTTTAAGGAATGGTTTAAGTACAGCAGCCTTTGAGGCCAGTGATGTCTGATGGGCTCTTACAAAGTGAAACAAAGTGAAGTTGTTTTGTAGGTTTTATGAATTCTGAGCATAAAAACTGCAGCAAACAGCAACACATTACTAAACAACTGAAGTTATTGAGGGGTTACTTTTATTCAGCTAGACTCATCAGGGCTCGGTTTAAAAATCGATTTTAGTTTCAATAAAGTGATCCATTCATTAAGTCCTGAATCCATTTTTAAATATAAATGTATTTTTGTCAGAAACACCAAAATCTCAGGTTAAAGCTCACAAAACTATTTCAACAACCATCAAACAGCTAAAACAGCAAATGAGAGCAGCTAACAGAGTCCGCACAGAAACACAGAGTGTGAATCGTTCACCCGACGGCACGGACACGCCGTCGCTGCTGAACGTCGGCGTCTCACAGATTCTGACGCTGCAGGTTTCATCACTCAACACTCCAACAGCAAAGCCTCATTTCTGCTGTTAAACATCGAACAAATGTAAACTTTTACAAATTATGCTAAATAACAAACTCTCAGCTGTGTCTGTGATCAAACCTCTAACTTTGCTCTGCTTCACTTCAGCATCAGGTCAGGTTCACTTATCTGCTATAAAAAGCCAGGAAATCTGCTCCATGTTTTTCTCCTCAGTTACTTTGGCACAAAGACATCTGCAGTGATGATCACACCTGTGATGAAGTCTCACAGTGTCAGCTTTGTGTTTATACACAGATAGTTACACCGAGTTTGTAATTGCACATCAATATTCAAATAATTTGTCATTTACCAGCTTTAGAGTTCTTTCAACAGTACAATAAATGATCATTATAATATTTCTATCAGCCCTGCTGATCAGTGCTTTCAGACTAAGCCAGGAAAATACTCATGACTGTTAAAGTGTTTAAATGTTTTCATTTGGATTAACACTCAGTACTATGTGACTGTAATACAGTAAATGTAGTTTTCCTGTGAGAGAACAGGTGTGTGAGCAGGTGACCCTGTGCATCACCGCTGCAGTGCAGCAGGTTCGAGTCTCACTCCTGGCTCTTTGCTGTGTGTCTGTCTTCACTGCGCCAACACTTCCTGATCTTTGTCACTAACAGCTGCAGGTTGGACTTCCAGTCTGTTCCTTCCACAGTGACGGATCCACGCATGTATTATGAACAGAACACCAGCTGTCATGTTTGCAGCTACAGCGTGTAGTCAGTGTCATTGCTTATGAATGCTTTTATATTCACACCAACCACACTGAAAATAAATGACTGCTGTAATATTTCAGCAGCATCTCAGTTCAACAGAAGTTTGTATTTCAGTTGCATCGCGACTCTTCATTTTCTCTCTAAATGGCCTTTTTTATTTGACGCTGTGTTTCCAAAGGTTTTCCCAACAGTCCCAGTGAATATGCATCTCTGGCAGCTCAAACTGTGATTGGTCAAGTGTTAGAGGGCGTGGCTCCTCTGTCTGACGACGCACGAGTCCAAGCATTGAGTATAACGATGACGGCGTTCATGGAGGCGTGGATGGAGCACATCCTGAGACAGAAGATCAAGTTCAGGTGTGTTTTAGAGCACAGACTGTGTTAGCCAACAAACTGACGACATGTCATTAGAAACAGCAGTTTGGTGCGTGTGACTCTTCACTCACACGTCACATAAACACAAACCATCTCCAGATGTTGACAAATGTCCTTCTGCTCTTTGTTTTTAGCGTGCAGGGCGCTCTTCAGCTGAAGCAAGACTTTGACTCTATTAGAGAAATGATCCAGTCCGACCAGTATGGTCTGTCAGCTGAGCTCCACCAGCAGCTGCTCAGCCTCCGGTATCACCATCTGCCTTTTTCTCTTATTCATTGTCATCTTCATCTCTTCATCTTAAATCTCTTGATTATTAACTAATCAAACCAGTAACAAATATCCAAAACCAGCCCAAACGAGCCGACGTGTTCAATTCAATTTTATTTATATTGCACCAAATCACAGCAGCAGTCGCCTCAAGGTGCTTTATGAAAGCTTAGCAGCTGTACATACTCCACATATCTGAGACCACTGCTTTACTGTGAGCTTCAGACTGTGGAAGCTGTCATCTTTCTAGTCTTACTGACCACCGAACGTCACATTTTTCCATCTGCAATTTAAAATCACCAATCAATCACACAGTCAGTAAATATGCAACTTATAAAGTTACATTGAAACCAAGCACACCATTGTTTTTCTTGTGACATTACCAATAAGTTTGATGTGTCACATGGCCCTCTTCCTATTGAAAAAACAAAAGTTGTATCCAAGATGGCCGACTTCTAAATGGCCACCATGGTCACCGCCCATCTTGAGGAGTTTGACCCTCACATATACTAATGTGCCACAAACAGGACTTTAATATCACCAACCATTCCCATGTTATTACGCTGTATCCATAGAAATGGCCCACCCTGTAGATAAGTCACTTTGACGTGATGTCAGAGTGGGACGTTCCTCAGTGCTCTCTCTGTCTGCAGGGTTTTTCAGCAGGTGGACTCAGCAGTGGTGTGTCTGCTCCAGCAGCCGCAGGCTAAACCGTACGTGCAGCCTCGATCCTGGGAGCCGTTCACTCGCTGCTGTAAGTGTCACATCAGTCTGCAGCGTTCAAATGTGCCATGTGACATTTCAGAGGCGCGTTGGGCTGTGAGAAAGAGCACAAATGTTTCTGTCCTTCATCAACCAAACACAGTGTTCTGTTAGGATTCACAGGCCTGCTGCTGTGTTGTTGCCGTTCATGTGACAAATACAATGAGAGGCGGTGGTGATGAGCCTGCTATAATTCTCCAGGTCCGGCTGACAGAAACAGGGACAGCACTGATGCTGCTGTGGGGAGCAGCATAGCCAACCTGAGGTGCATGGAGGGCGAGGACCTGCCTCAGTCTGATTCCTCATACACGCCTACCGACCTCCCTCCAGTAGACCCATCGACCCCCGCAGAGCCATACCTCGCTCCAAGGTACAGTTCTCCCATTCTCTCTACGGAGGTAGTGCAGAGATTCATCATTTGTTTGACACATTAATGGGCCTGATGCACACGTCTCCCCTTAAAGTCGCTCCCAGTTAAGAAGTGTTTCCTTTGTGCTCACAGCCTGGTGCTGGGCGCAGCTCAGCAGGACTGGTTAGACCTGAGGATTCAGACCAGTGCCCGTCGCTGGAGGCTGCCCTGCCTGTCCCACTCTGAACACTGAACACACACAGACACACACTTTGATTCAGTAGCAACATTTGAAGGAATGTAAATATCATGTAAATACATAAAAATAATGATTTTATTTTTGATAAATAGACATGAGGGAGGCACCATGAAGCAAGTACAACAACAAACCCCAGTCAGACACAATGGGAATCACAACACTGGTTAGAACTTCACGCTCACATATGTTTGAAATGTGTCAAATGAATGAAATGATAATTAATTTAAAAA